CTCAGTTAGTGTGTGTGATCCTGTTTCTCTAAATATTGTTTCTTTACTTCCCAAATCCCAAACCGTCTGCTCATGGATCCATGTCACAAAGGGGATTTACAGGAATCAGCCAGGTCTAGGAAAACGACTCCCTAATCCGAGATCCCAAACCCTGGGAACTGCTGTGCCGCCTGCGCCTCCCTCTCCTCTCCTTCTCCAGGTGACTCATGTAGAGATAGTTCTGAGTCCTGGAATGCCAAGGGATGTATTTATAGTCCAACTTCACACAGAAAGGGAGTTCAGAGGGAACTAACTCTGGTTGATCATTCACGGTGCGTCAACTGCTTTGGCCACGGCTACTCATTGGATGTCATGTAACCCCCTCTAGCATGGTTTTCTTATTACCCTCATTTTGCAGATGAGCAAACAAGGCTAAATAAGCGACAGAGGAGAGATGTCAACCAAGGTCCATGTGACACAAAATATATTCTCTGCCTGCACTCCCCATTGCCTTCCCATGAAGACATTGGGATCCTTTGACGAGGGCTGTAATTCCACCCCATCTTCCAGGGGGCGTCAGCGAGCGCTGTTGATCAGAGCAACCCAAGCTCCCACCCCCACTCTTGCCACATTGTCAGTCATCTTGTAAGTGCACCGCCTTGGTTGTTCGTTAGGCCAGTGGTCGGCAAACTGCGGCTCTCGAGCCACATGCAGTTCTTTGGCCCCTTGAGTGTGGCTTTTCCACAAAATACCACGTGCGGGCGCGCACATACAGTGCAGTTGAAACTTCGTGGCCCATGTGCAGAAGTCGGTTTTTGGCTCTCAACAGAAATTTCAATCGTTGTCCTGTTGATATTGGGCTCTGTGGACTAATGAGTTTGCCGACCACTGCGTTAGGCAGATGGGTGAGAGGGACGTCTGCAACTGGAACTATTCCCCGGTGACCGTGGCACCAATCGTGCACCACTGTCCCTGAGAATAAGCCGCCACTGTTCTCACGGCCTCTTTTCAAAGAGAAGAAAGCCATTCAGCAGGGACCACGCCGCTGTCTTATCCCCCTCCGCGGAGCTCAGAGGGAAAAACTGGCGCTCAGAGTCCAAGGTGCTGAGTACTCTTGGATCCAGATTATGCAGATACAAGGAGATGACATGTGCTTAATAGACATGTGTGGCTTTTGCTATACTCCATACATAACACAGGTATTTTTGTGTGTGTATGCGTGTGTGCATGTGTGTTTACTGGCCCTGGGAATCATCATGTCTGTTCTGAGCAGCTGCACACGCCAACACCCAGCATTTTCAGTTCTGCTCACATCAGACTCTGTTTTCATCGCTTTCAGATACCCAGGCACGATCATGGTCAGGGCACCTGAGAAGGTGAGAGGTGCGGATGGTTCGCAACGGGGCCTGATTTCCAATCTAAAGAGGATCATGGCCCGTGAACCCCAGATATGGTGTGAACCTTTGAAATTCGAATGGCGGGCCAGGCAGGCGGAGGCGGTATATCCTGACTGGGGCACAGTATCACATTGCTCACACATTCCCTTCTTGGCGGGAGGAGATGGGGGGGAGGAGCAGATACATAACATAATCTTCAAATGAAAGTGAAACACCCACTGATGGCTGCAAGGTTGGGCTCTGTGGTGAATTCAGCTGTTTACCATCGCAGTGAGCTTAGCTTGTAAGCGCCCTTATATCCTGTGTCTGCAGAGCCAAGGGTGTGCACAGACTCAGCTCCCGGGGGAGGGGAGGGGGTATCTGTGCCGTCATTTTGACACATCCCCCTTTATTTTACAAGCGATGGCACCGGGGCCCAAGGCGACAGCATCTGTTAATGTGACTGAGCCGTCGTATGGCCTTTGCTATACACACCATACATAAGGGATGGGAGGCTTTAGGTGACAGGGTGGAATAGAGGGAAGAATAGAATAAATGCAAAGTCAAATGGCATTTTAATTGATCTCCAGCCTGGAGGAAGGCCCTCGTGGAGTGGACGGAAACCTGAGTGTCAGCTGTTGTGCTCTCTCCTGCTCCACCGGGCAGCATGGGGCTGCTGAGACTCACGGGACGTAATTAGGCCGAGCTCGTTGGGGCCAGGTGTGCTTCCAGTCATAGAACCTTCGGCCGCAGGAGACAGAGCACCTCAAACTCACAATGGCTTTCCTGTGCACAAAGCACTTGCTCACCCACCAGCATTCAGCAGCCTCCTGGGGCTGGCGCCCCTATCTGTCCTCTTCACGTGAGGCCACTGCAGGCCAGGATCCCTCCGCCAACCGGATATCAATGGGATTCAGCCCTTCAGTTCCTCTTCTGCTCCAGAGGTCACCTTAGCACCGAGGCCCTGTCTGAACATTCCGCTCACCTCCGTCACTTTCTGACTCCACCTGTAATCCACTTTCTCTGGCATTTTTAGGCTGGCTGTTTCCCTCCTAAGGTAAGCTCGCCAGTGTGGGCCACGGCCCGCCGGATGTATGAACAGTAAGTGAGTTACTCATTTTCATTTGACACCCTCTTGGTTATGTCTGCCCCAGGCCCAATGCAAAAAGCAAGGCCCCTAGCCTGGGGGGCACTCCACTGTGATTTGGGGTTAAAGACCAGAGGACCCGCTTATGGATCAAGATAGCAGGAACAGCCAAAACCAGTTTGGCTCAGTGATATAGAGCGTCAGCCTGTGGACTGAAAGGTCCCAGGTTCGATTCTGGTTAAGGGCATGTACTTTGGTTTTGGGCACATCCCCAGTAGAGGGTGTGCAAGAGGCAACTGATCGATGATTCTATCTCATTGATGTTTCTAGCTCTCTCTCTCTCTCTTCCTCTCTGTAAAAAAAAAAAAAAAAAATCAATAAAGTATATTAAAAAAAAAAAAAAGATAGTAGGAACACAATCTTGGGTGTGGCCACACGGCCAGCCTTCTGCCCTCAGGGGGCGCATTTAGGGTGATTTGGGTGAAGAGGTGGTTTTTTGGTATGTTTTTGTTTGAGAGAGAAACATTGACCCAATGCTCTCCATTTCTTTCTTTCTTTTTTTTTTTGGCCCATTTTATTTATTTATAATTTATCTTTATTGTTGAAAGTAATACAGATGTCTTCCCCACCACCACCCCCCTTGACCTTCTCCACTACCCCCTCAGGCCTCACTCCCTCTTGCTCCCTCCCTAGGCCTTCACTCACTGTGCCTGTAAGTTGCTTGGTTAATCTCTTCCTGCAACCCCTCCCTCTGGAATTCACTAGTCCTCCAAGTCTCTGGATCTATTTTGTTCTTCATTTTATTTTGCTCATTAGATTCCATATACAATATAAGTGAGGTCATGCGATCATTGTCTTTCTCTGACTGGCTGTTTCGCTTAGCGTAATTCTCTGGTATTTGCCCCCACCCCAGATGTAACCTCAACCTGGGTTAAAGGGGATGACTCGGCTAACCAGCTGCTCTACCCTGCCAGGGCTGAGGTGAGCTTTGAGAGGCTATGGAAAGCTCCCACTGACTCCAATGACAGGAGCCAATCTTGTGTTGCTACCCAAAAGCCTAGGTCAGTGGTCGGCAAACTCCTTAGTCAACGACTGACATTTCTTTGGAGAGCCACATTTTTTAAACTTAAACTTCTCCTAACGCCACTTCTTCAACATAGACTCGCCCAGGCCGTGGTATTTTGTGGAAGAGCCACCCTCAAGGGGCCAAAGAGCCACATGTGGCTCTCGAGCCGCAGTTTGCCGACCACGGCCCTAAGTAGGGTTTTTTTTCCTTCTTCTTTTGAACCAATTTCTTTGGCAATCAATGGTGGGAAATTAAATGGATTCATTGGACTAAGTAGATTGAGCTAGTGAAAAAAAAAAAAAAATAGCCATCTGCCAGGGCCGAGGAATGAGCAATCTGTTGGTACTTTTTCCGCAGACATTTGGCATCTGCTTCGTGTTGCACACCATTTGCGCCTCGGGAAATGCGTTTTACACCTCATGACCCGGATCTTTCCTCCGGGTTAAAAAAAAAGGGGGGGGGGGCAACGAAAGATTAGAAAATAGTAAAAAAAAAAAAAAAAAAAAAAGTCAAAACCCTTTCATTTGTTTTCATCCGGCACTTGAGCGAGTTTAAGCCAACTGCACAAACTAGCCTTCCAGGGGCGGCGGGCGAGAGCCCCGCACAGGGAATGCGGCAGATAGATGCCAGCCTGGCAGCCGGCTGGCTGGCTCCTCGCTTGGGCCCAGGCCACCCCGGGGCCCCTCGGCCCCCGCGGCAGGAGGCGACGCTCCCCGCTCGCTTCCGGCACCCACGTGGGACCAAAAAAGATCGCGCACAACTTTTTTCGGTCCCAATTCTTGCCCCACGCCTCCGGAACCAGCTCGCTGCAGGCAGCGCTGGGGTCGGCCCCGCTGGAACCGGCGTCTGAACTTGGCCTGGGAGGCGGCGCGCGCAGGCTGCGGGGGCGTGGCCACGGGCGGAGCGGAGGTGGATGGGGGCGTGGCCGCGGGCGGCGAGGGGCGGAGCGGGGGTGGAGGGGCCGGGGGCGGGGGCGTGGCCTCAGGGCGGGGGCGTGGCCTCGGGGCGGCCGGCGCGTGCGCAGAGCACTTCCTTGTTTGTCCCCGTGACTGTAGCGGGAGCGCCGCCGCCCGCAGCCTGGCCGCCGTCCGCGGGAGCCTGCGCTCCGTCAGTCAGTCGGTCGCTGCGCTCGCCGCCGCCTGTCAGAGCGTCTGGGGAGGTAGCGCCGGCCGCCCCGCAGCTGCCCGGCCCGGTCCCTCCGATCCCGCCGCCCAGGAGCCGCGCCGCCGGCATGCGCCCGGGGAGGCGGGTCCCCAGGAGCCCCCTGCCTCGCGCGCCGCTCGGAGTTTGAAGGGCCCCGCGCCCCGCGCCGCCGCCGCCTGCTGCTCCCGCCGCCCGCCCGCCCGCCCGCCCTTCCTCCCGCCGCCGGGAGCCGCGCCAGGCCGGGCGCGGGTGCGGGCTGCGCGGGGCGTTCATGAGCCGCCGGCCGGCCCGCGGCCCCCGGAGCCCGCGCCCGCCTCACGCCGCGCCTGTGTCTCGCCCCCCACGCCAGGATGCCGGACCAGATCTCCGTGTCCGAGTTCATCGCCGAGACCACCGAGGACTACAACTCGCCCACGACGTCCAGCTTCACCACGCGGCTGCACAACTGCAGGAACACCGTGACGCTGCTGGAGGAGGTAGGTCGCGGCCGGCGCCCCCCACCCCCCGCGGGGACCCTCCCCGGGGATCCCCCCCCCTCCTCCCCGGGCCTCCGCTGGCAGCTGCTGCCCGGCAGCGTGCCTGGCAGTCTGGTCTGGTCGCCTGGATTCCGGAGCCGGGATGTTTGTTTGGGGTTGCCAAGCCACACCCCCTCCGGGACCCCCCAGCTCCCGGGTGAAGGGGGGACCTGGCGGTGTGCAACCTCCGTCTGCCCCATATGCCCGGATGCTGACCCCCCCGGAGGCCGGAGGTGGGCAGAGGGGCCTGAGCGACCCCACCCCCCCACCCACCCAGGAGGAAGAGGGATGGCCCTCGCTATCTGCCGCCCTTCCTGCGTGTCGGGCAGTCAGCTAGATGCTTTCCACATCATCCTGACCCTGTCATAACCCGAGAAGTAGGTGGCATCAGGCCGAGGGAGGGGAAGCAACGTGGCCAAAGTCACCAGCAAGGGACAGGGAGAGAGATGGTCAGTGAATGCACTGCTCCAGGGCTTTGCAGGGCTCAGGCAAAAAATCCTAAAGGAAGGAGAAGGGGACTCAGACTGGGACTGCTTTATCCCCAGAAGCCCTACCCTGGCCCGGGGCCTACAGTCCTGGGTGGGAGAGAGATCTGTGCAGACAAGCCCCCCCCATCCGGCCCCCCTCTTCAGAGGGTTTGGCTATGGCCGAGGCTGCTGTGCCAGCAGGACCTGCCTGCTGGGCACCTACAGCCATGAACTGAGAGCAGAGGCCTTGCTGCCTGGAAGTGTCAGAGCTGAGGCTGCAGGAAGCACAGCTCCTCCTGTGCACACCCTCCAGAGGACCTTGTGGGTGTCTGGGGATGGGGCCAAGGACAGAGCGGCTTCCTTCACAGCTTTAAGTGAATTGGCGAAAGGGGGAGATGGGAGGTAAGGGGGAACCCCAGGGCTGTGAAGCCTCTGAACCTCGGTGATGAAAATAGGACATCTGCCCTGGAGCTTGGCACCGTCTGTAAGTGCCACAAAGCACCACTCCGCTCCGAGCAAGCCATACCCATTTCTGCCGCGGGAGACGGCACTGGGGGAAGTTCGGAAAGCAGCCGTTCTGTCCAGATGGATTCTCCTGGGCTGGCTTATTTGAGGTCTGGAAAGCCCTCTGTAGCATTGAGAAGCTTGCGCTTCTGTGGGCAAGCGGCTCTTCATACGGGGTTTTGCTGCTTGCTCTTCAGATCAGGGTGCGTGTAGCTCTGGTCTAATGAATCACAACTGCAGGAACGCATAGGCTGCTGCAGGAGGTAGGTCCAGGTAGGTCGACGGTGCCCCACTCCTGCCCCTCCTGGGACCCGCCTCCTTGCCTCCACTTGCAGCTGCTGCCTGGCAGTCAGAGTGTCTTTTTTTTTTTTAATATAAATTTTTTATTGATTCCAGAGAGGAAGGGAGAGAGAGAGAACCATTAGTGATGAGAGAATTATTGATCATCTGCCTCCTGCATGCCCCCCATTGGGGATTGAGCCTGCAACCTGGGCATGTGCCCTGACCTGGAATCGAACCTGGAGCTACTGGGCTCATAGGTTGACACTCAACCACTGAGCCATTCAGAGTGTCTTGAGATTCCCGAGCTGGGGATGTTTGGGGCCAGAGAGCCACACCCTTTCCCAGGTCCTAAATTTTAGGAGGAGAGATTTCTGCTGGTTCTGGGTCCCATCTTGCCTGCCAGGTGCTGCAAATTAGTTTGAATGCTTTCTGCCAGTTGAGGATGCTCTCTAGAGTTCTTTCTGAAGTTAATGATGGTGATGGAACTGAATTTTGAAATTCAGTTGGAGAACTATCACCAAACTAGATGTGTTTGTAAGCCAGAGGTAAATGATCGTTTTTCTTTCCTTTTTTTTTTCTTCTTCTTCTTTGTGAACCGTCAGCCTTGTGCTAACCTGATGCTTAATGTCAAGGATTACATGGAGTTGCCAGGCGTTCCACCCCATGAAGGGCCAGTCCTTCACTTAATTGTGATGAATTGGAACCTGCTGATAATGGAGCATTTTGCATCCTTTTTCCTGCACTAATTGTGTATGCCTCTAAAGGATGTCACATTGATTAGGCGAAGCGGTTATTTTCCTTCTCGATAACTTCTTCAGTGCCTGCAAATAGTGCTGTCAGTTGTTTTTAACTTTCCCTGTTGGCACACTCAGATAGTGTTACTGCATTCTGTTTGGGGGGTGATAAGGGTAAATAGTTGGAGATGCTATTTGTAGGGGTATGTGCCCATAATTTCACCAACCGCAGAGGATAGGGTAAATGTTGCTCTTGGTCTTAGTTTGAGTTAACTAAATTTAAAAGCAAATGCAAGGCGCACACACGCGAGTATATGGTATGTGTTACTGTTTTACAAGGTTAGAAAAATAGATCAGTCCTAATACAAACGTGGTCACCTATGAACTTGAGAAGGAATTGGAACCAGGCTACAAGTTTAAAAGTGTCATGGCAGAGTACATTGATAACACTCATAGTCTCAAAAACGTAACAGTAACTCTTTCACTCAGAATGGCACAGCAATTTTGTAACTCTCTTTTCTGAACTTGAGGACAATACTGGTCAGGAAGTCATTGTCCCCAGACTGTGTCTTTTAACTCTTGAATCAGTCCATGAAATTGAACTCGTAAGTGATTTTCATTTGCATAAATGTGAAACATACCCTTTAGTTTCTTATTGATAGATCAGTGCACAAATTTGTGCACATTGAAAGGAAATTAATTAGAAATGTTTTAATAGTGCTATTGACCCTTTCTCTATAATAGAAGTGTCAACCAAATTCATGATTGACAATGGAAACATCACGTATTCGATTGGTGCCAGCAAGAGCTTTATATGTATTGCACATGTATGAGTCATCTTAGCCATATATATATATATATATTAAACTTGCTTAATTAGACTGCTTTCAGATATAGCTAAACTTTTTTCAGCCTAGTGAAGCACCCCAACTTCTCTTTCAGGTAATTGTCAGCAACACAGCAGTAAATATCTGGGAACCCCTTTCACATCCCTCGTAGTTCAAGGTTCCAGTTCAGGGTTTGGGTTCTGGAGAAGGCCAAACACAAATGAAAAGAGACTAGGAAAAATTTAATTTGGCGATATAAGAGCCCAGGTGGGAGCCCACCTCCAGGGGGAGAACTACCTCTAGGCTCAGGCCTTGCTATTGCTTTTATTGAGACTATGGGATACACCCATTACCCTTAAACAGGTTTGGTATACACCCATAGCCCTTAGACAGGTAATAATCGGATTATCATATCAATAAGGATTTACATGATTACAAGATGGGGAAGTCGCCTCAGTTACCATTGTCTCAATTAGATAGGGAGTGGTTGGCTCTGACCTTTTAGAGTAGGGGTGTCGAACTCAATCAGAGAAGGGGCCAAAATCTAAAATCCAGCCTAAATCGCGGGCCGAATGGTTTACTGAACAGTCATAAACTGTCATTGTGATGGAAACGCAGCGGAGTGCAGTGATGACAGCGCGGTGCGGGCCACATTGCAAGGCCTGGCGGGACGGATTTGGCCCGCGGGCCTTGTGTTTGACACATGTATTTTAGAGCTTCAAGGTTGACCAGCCTTTTACATCTTTCTTTTAGAGAGACAATGATCGGTTTCCGGCAAATATCCACATGAAGCAGATTATTATTGTAGATCACACAGGGAGAGCAAAGGGTAAAATATTTAACTGCAGCAGTGAGAAAACCTGAAGTCATTTTCAAGGTCCACCATTTCTTCTTTTCAGTCGGGCCAGGTTTTTAAATTTTCTAAATCTCCGTTTTCCGGCTAATGAAATAAAATAGGATTCCACTGTGTCTCCTATCTACCTACTCCAGGTCTTCTGTGAGGATCAAATGAGATGAGGCATGGGAAAACGCTTCACAGACATTTGGTTAAAGTGTGAAATACTTCCACCTGTGTTGCTGGGCTGAAGAAACTGCAAGGAGGCTAGTGGTCACTAGGGAGAGGAAGTAGGGTGGAGCTGTGCCGTCATTTCCGGGACAGACACTTAGCATATTAGCCTTTTATATATATGTAACCACCGTGGTTGAATCACCTTCACCCTCACCCCTACCCCAGCTTACATGTATGTTGGATACATTATTGCATGTATCTTAAGTTGATCAGAATTCAGGTCTTAAAAAATCTGGGCCTTAAGAATATTAAAAGTTTCAGGGCAAACTACTGAATCTTGTAGGTTTGTGCTTTACAAGTGAGGTACTTGGGACCTTTAGGACAGGTAGCCAACCTTTCGGACCTCACAGACCGCTTTACTTTAGAACACTGTTTGTGTTATCTTGTGGCTCCTCTTAGGAATAGAACTTTTGGGTACTTTTTTTGGTGATGTGGAGACTCAGGAATAGATATTAATTTGGGCAGTTTGGCATTATTTCTCTTGAAAACAATCTCTTCTAGGTCTAGTGATTAAATGTCTTTCTGTTCATTTACTATTTTGCTCTCTGGGGTTCCTAATTAGCATGCGTAAGTCTCAGCTAAAAACCTGTCTTGAGCTCCAGGCTTGGAATCTGCATTTAACCCACTCTCTCCCTTCTGCTGTGTCACTGGCAGAGAGAGGGTTTTGCAGATGTTGGGGCCTTTGCTGAAGTCTCTCTGTACGAGCACTCTAGGAAAGGGGTCAGAAATACAGTAAAAGGGGCAGAGGCTCCTCCTGGGTGAGGGGTCCCCAGGACTCGGGGAGTCGGGACGTGGCTGGCACGCAATGAGTGGCTGCCTTTGGGAAGCAGGAATGGGTTGGCTGCCAAGGCTTCATCCTGGTGGAGAGTGTTTTCCAAGCAGAAAGCCAGTGTTTTGCTTATTCAGCAGCCAGAGCGCACTGACGCGCGCTGTTTCACTCGTGACCGTTTGGAAGTTCTGAGTAAATGACCGGGAGGCGAGGAGAAGACAGCTTTCCCGAGGATGGAGCAAGCAGGCACTCCAGCACCACTGTCGGGGGAGCCAGTAGGAGAGACCCTCTGTTTTAAAGGCTTGGATT